GCGGCCTCGCGGGGACGGAGCCCGAACGCCGGGCAGGGAACGCCGCCCCTCCCGAGGTGCAAGCTCCGGGGCTGTGCGGTGAGATCGGGCTGGTGGGCGGCGGCAGCACCGTGCACCGTCTCGGGCGCCGAGGTCGCCGCGGGGTCAGTGCATTGGCTGCTGCCTTCTAAGCCTACCTGAAGCCCAGCTGACCGAACGCCTGCTCCGGGCAGCCTCCTCAGCGCCCCCTGCAGGAAGTGAGGTTTGTCTTCTCGGAGCCAGTCTCCAGCCTCTGTCAGGCCCCTGGCCTTCTGAGCACAAGTGTTAACCTCTCATCTTCCCCACTTGTCAGAGGGGTCAGGTTCATCCCAGCTCTTTCTCCCACAGTGTGACAGCACTGACTTCAGCCTTCTCTGAGCCCCTGGGAAACTGGGGCTTCCCTACCCACAATCCCCTGGGGCTGGGGGTGCTGAGTTCACTTAATTCTTCCCTTCACTGGTTTAAGGGACTGGAGGTAAAATTCACAGTAAGAGGTCGGATGTGACACCTAGACGTGCTGTGTCAAACCTGAATAAAACGGGTAACATAGCTTAAAGATCAGGCAACAAGTAATGGAAATTAGTGGAAACTTAGTAACAAGGTATGAGTAAATGGGAAGAGCTCCAGTCTTCTCAAAGGTGATACAGACCACTCCTTTATTTTATATTTGAAGCCAAGAGGAGGGATTTATCTAAGGTAATTCAGTGGTAAAAGGAGAACTGGGACCTAAGTTTCCAGTTCTCATCCTGTGTCCTTTCCTCTGAACAGCAACTAAATTTACTAGACACATTAGGAACAGGAATCATTTGCACTGCTGAGTCCTGCACTGTAATACAGCCTTTATCTAACCAAGCTCAGCACTATCTGACCCTACTCTCCGCTACTGATGCTCTGAAATTGAGGAACTTTTCTTTTGGATGAGAACCACAAATAGGTTCTTAGAAGGATGAAGTTAATGACTAACAGAGCCCAGCCTCTGCCAGCCCCGACTCACTATATGGGATAGGTAGTGTCAGCCCCCTCCCTTGGGTATGTCTGACCCACCTTCAGGTCCGAGGAGCTGCAGGTGTGACTGACGGAAATGAAGTGGCCAAGGCCCAGCAGAAAGCTCCTAGGGGAGCAGCCCCAACTGTCTTCTCCCGGATCCTGGATCGAAGTCTCCCAGCTGACATTCTATATGAGGACCAGCAGGTGGGGTGCCCTTAGGACTCATCCCCTTAGGAACTGCTGAGATACCATCAGCCTGTTGAAGTAACATGGTGGCCTCTGGCCTGTCACTACTCCCAGTGTCTCGTATTCCGTGATGTGGCCCCTCAAGCTCCTGTGCATTTCCTGGTCATTCCTAAGAAGCCCATTCCTCGGATTAGCCAGGCTGAAGAAGAGGACCAGCAGGTGGGAAGAGCAGGGCCAAGGTTTGGCTTCGGGGGGTGGAGCTAGAGGTTTTGCTCCCTGTGAATGAAGCCACCTGTCTCCAACCCCTTTCCCTGTAGCTTCTAGGACACCTTCTCCTTGTGGCCAAGAAGACAGCAAAGGCTGAGGGCCTGGGAGATGGATACCGACTTGGTGAGTGACTTTTGGACCTTGAGCCCCTCACGTATAAATGATCTTGAGCCCCTCAATATGATCTTTAATCTTTGACCTTTTCCATGATCCTGACCTCCTAACCCCAAGTTCTGTTTCAGTGATCAATGACGGGAAGCTGGGCGCACAGTCTGTGTATCATCTGCACATTCATGTACTTGGGGGCCGACAGCTCCAGTGGCCTCCAGGTTGAACCTACCAACTGACCAAGAACCTCAGACCTGGATGCTTGGAGGGTGGGGGGAAAGGGACCCTATGATGCTAATAAACTTACTCTCCCTCGATTTTGGATCACTGTCTTAAATATATAAAGATACCACAAATAGGAAAGAAAACTGATTAAAGATAATCATCTCTCTTGACTATGGTCAGTGAGAGACATTAAGGAGGCCCATCCTGCAGTTAAAGAAGCATTTGCCTATAGATCTGTGAGTCCTCATGACTAATGGTCCACCTGGATCAAGCTTCTAGAAAAGTAGCAGTAGGAATAAGCTTGTGTGAGTAGGAAGAGACTGAAACCCAGGAGTGAGCCTTGCTCAATCCTCGCACTCACTCAGATGCCAAGCCAAGTGCTAAGGGAGTCTGAGAGGAGGATGGTCAATGTGAGGGCCTTTTACTGAAGGAGAACTAATCACACCAAAAAAGGCCTCTACCCTTTGACAGATCCCCATGTCTCACCATTTTGCTTTTGAGTTGTTTGATGTATTTTCAACCTTAAACATTTTAAAAAGACTCCCTCCACTTTTGAGAATGAACTAAGGGGAAGTTACTGTTGCCCCTACACAAGCACACCAGGTATGCTTTACTCTGATACCCCAGCCCTGTGCTTGTCTCCAACACAAAGAACCACCTTAGAAAGCCTCAAAAGAACCATGCTTGGGGCGCCTGGGAGGCTCAGTTGTTAAGCGTCTGCCTTTGGCTCAGGTCATGATCCCAGGGTCTTGGGATCGAGCCCCGCGTCGGGCTCCCTGCTCAGCCGGAAGCCTGCTTCTCCCTCTCCCGCTCCCCCTGCTTGTGTTCCCTCTCTCGCTGTCTCTCCCTGTCAAATAAATAAATAAAATCTTTAAAAAAAAAGAACCATGCTTACGCGTAGAAGGCAGGGCCCTAGGCCAGCGGAACCTTAAAAGCTGGGCTGAGGCGGAACGGAGTCTGAACGGAAAGCAAACCTCCCAGAGAGCGGCAGGTTGAAGACTTCCGCCCCGCAGAGAATCTGCCTCCACCCCCACCCAACACTTCCGCCCAACTCTAGTTCTGCGCAGTCTCCTGGAATTATTTGCCGTCTCTATGGCAACCCGGTAGCTGGTGCCTGAAGATGGAGACCACCGAGTCTACCAAGGGATCGCGGTCTCGGTGAGAGCGGCAGCTTTGGCTGCAGGTGTAAACAAGAAGGGTCAGAGGACTTACTGGGCTGCGCTTTTGAGGACTTTGACGCATTCGCTTTCTTTTAGATCTTTGGACATACAGCCTGGTGCTGGAGGGCTCAGGTCTGCTTCAGAACCGTTTCCTTCGGATGGCCGTCCTGGGTCGGTCTTGGCAGCCGCCATCACTGCAGCTGCAGCCGCCTCCACCGCCAAAACTGATGCGTTATCTTCGAAGACCCTAGCGCGCTACTCTGAGCCGAGCGTTCTCCTGGACCGCTCCTCTGACAGTCTTCCTGGGGAGCCCTGCACTGGAGCCAGCTTTACCCACAAGACAGGCCATAGGAGACTTGGCTTTGAGCCTGTCTATGTTTCCCGTTTCACCCAGGATCCCTGTACTACAAATGACCTTAGCTCTAGTCCTGGCCCTGCTCCTGGCTCCGGTTCTGGTCCTGGCCATGGCTCTGGCCCTGGCTGTGACTCTGGTCAAGGCACTGGTCCTGGTTCTGGCCCTGGTCCTGCCACTGACTCTGGGCCTAGTCCAGACGGTGGCCATGACCCTGAGCTCAGCCCCTCCAATCTCCCAAGCTTCAGAAACCTCAGGGCAGAGCTGGTCCCTAATTATGCCTCCTGGAATCACTACTGCCACTGGGAACCTCGGAAACAACCCTGGAAATTTTTGCAAGTCTCAGAACCTGGTGCCCGAGGGCAATGGAAGACCCCCCAGGTTGAAGGGAACTGTAAGGTTCTCAGTGAAACATTGCCACGGGGCCACTGCCTTCTCTACAACTGGGAGGAGGAGGTATTGTTTTGACCTGCTCCCTTTTCCTGAAGACTGCCCCCAGTTTCTTGGGGGAGGCAGTAGTTTATGATGAGGGTGGGTACCATAAAGGATATCATGGTCACTCAACTTGGGGCCCACAGAGAGCCACCAACCACCTGGATCAAGTTCCAAGTATGCAGGATGGCTCTGAGAGTTTCTTCTTCCGACATGGACACCAGGGACTGCTGACCCTGCAGCCACAGTCACCCATGTCCTTCAGCACCACCCAGAAAGACTCATACCAGCCCCCACGAAACTACTATCAGCCAATTCGAGGTGGGAAGCATGAGAGAACGGGCCAGCATGAGCCCATTAGAGAAAAGAGAGAGGAAGGAATTTCTAGTAGGACTATGGATTGTCCAATGGGTATAAGGGTAAAACCCCATGATTTTTCTTCCTTTTCTCACATTTGTTTCTTCTGGGCCTGCTTTTTAACCAGACTCCCCCATTCTGTTCCCTCCCTGCCCTCCCACAGGAAAGCGTGAAGCCATGATGGAGATGCTCCTGCACCATCAGATCTGGTGAGAGGCTGGGGGAAGGGTAAAGGGGAGGGGGAAGACAAATCTGGGAAGAATGGCTCTGATGCCCCCCAGAACTGTATAGTAAAGAGGTGCAGACAGAGCAGGAACCCACAAGGAAGCACTTTGAGGTCGAGTCTGTGACACACCGTGACTACCGAAAGGAGCTGGTACATGCCGGGCCTCCTGCCCCAACCAAGGTGAGAGCTTATCCCATCCCACTTGTACAGCTGGGCTCTAATGGACTGTGGGAAAGTAGCAGAGGTTAAGAGAGGTAGATTCAAACCAAGCACTTTTCAGGTTTTCTCCCTTACAGCCTCATGACTACCGTCAGGAGCAGCCTGAAACCTTCTGGATGCAGAGGGCCCCACAGCTACCGGTGTGTGAGGGTGTTGGGAGTGCGGGAGAAGAAGGAGGGGAAGAGGCTCTTCTGTTCCAGCTTGGCGCAGAGCAGGATCTGTCCTCATTCTGGCCCTCCTCCAGGGTGTCAGTAACATCAAGACACTGGACACGCCATTCCGGAAGAACTGCAGTTTCTCAACACCAGTGCCTTTGTCTCTGGGGCAGCCTTTGCCCTATGAACCTGAGAATTATTCCCACCAACTGGGAGAAAGATCTTCCCTTGCCTGTCAGGGAGAACAGGGTGGTGAAATGCGTAGAACCACTATCTAAGGGTTGAGGAGGGAAGAGGGATGTGGAATATGGAATCTATTTCCGTCTGTACTGGAGAGGTGGGAAGGAAGTACATTCTGTCTGTACTTGGTGAAGGGGCTTTCCATAAAGGGTTCTCTCTTGTCCTGAGATTGCGATTTCAGTTATTCTAGGCGTTACCATGTTCACACCCCATCACCTTTCCTTGGACTTGCCCCTAACCCAGACTCTGACACCATGAAATTTTTTGTTGTTTTATATTTGGCCAAAATATTCTGGTTTAGATACAGATATTTACAGAAGATAAGGAAGAAGGGGACCAGGCCAGAGCGAAGCAGGTATATGTACAAGGCTGAGCTGCAAAGAGCAACAATTTCCATATAAGGTCGGGTTTTTGTGCACGTTGGTTTCCATCTTACACGACAATGTCCATTTCTGGTGTGTGGAGAGATGGTGACCACTGCCCACCCAGGTCCCAGCAGCAGGAGACTGTCTGATTTGGGAAGAAGTAGGGTTTACAGGAGTCCAGGGGGTCCTTTCTGCTCTCCTAGGAGCCAGTATGTTCGCATCTTTCCTTTTCCCTAGAAGTGGGGGAGTGAAAATAATTCAAATTCTTTGATGTTATTCTCTTTATCTCTCTCTTTTCCCCATGGTTCCCATAATTGCTTTCATCCTCCCTTTCCATGACCCCTCCCCATGGCCTGCCATCACCTTCATCTCCACATCCCCCCGAAGCTCTAGCTGGAAGCATCCTAGCTCATCCAGGGCATCCTTGGTGGTAGAGGAGACATGGATCTTCAGGGCTGGGGGTGGGATGAGGTTGCAGGGATGGTGGGAAGATGAATCAAAGAAAAGACAATAGAAGAATTGGCGGTATCGGAGAGAGCTTTACCAAACCACCACCCCTCAGGAGGCTCTCAGTCTTCCCAGGGCATGCACTAGAACCAAAATATGTCCAAGGATGGGGCAGTCAGGAACTGTGATCTCTCAGACTGAGAGATTTGGAGGAACTCTGAAAAGAAGAAAAGGACAACACACATTGAGGCTGAGGCTGGGGTTGAGGGCTAATGTTTTACCTTGACCATTAGACTCCATGCGGGAAGCAGTGTTCACCGTGTCTCCGAAAAGACAATAGCGGGGCATCTTCAGGCCGACAACCCCAGCACAGACGGGCCCTAGGAGAAGAAACAGGTTGGGAGAGCCTGGGAAAAGCAGACACAAGGGCTGGAGTGAGAGTCAGCCTTACCCGTGTGGACCCCTATGCGTAGCCTCAGCTGGTCATGGGGTCGGTGGCGGATGCGGAAGGAAGAAACTGCATCCAGTAATGCTAGGGCCATACGAGCAATTTCTGGGGCATGGCGTTGACCATTTCGGCCTGGGAGGCCAGACACCACCATGTAGGCATCTCCAATTGTTTCTACCTGATTGAGATGGGGATGAAAATGTCACCTCTATGTGGATCAGTGGGAATGGGGAAGCGTAGAAGGAGATAAGCTGAACACCACTATGAGTCATCCTAACAGCCTGGGAGGCCAGAACACTGACTAGAAGGTAAGTGCCATGGTCCTGAGAATTGGCGGAGGGGGGAGGGGGGAGAGGTGCAATTAAGGGAATCTTTAAATCCTCCTACCCCACCCCTGTACCTGGCGAACACCCAGTAAACGTTTGCTGAATGAATGGATACCCTGTCTACAACAACACATGGACAAATAGGTTCTGCTGTCAGGAAATGGGAAGCAAGAAAACAGGGCTGACCTGAAGAGCACAGAGGCTAGTGAGGAGGGCAGGCAGGCCCACTGAACTAGGCCTCAGACAGCCTGAACTGTGCAAGGTAAGAAAGCAGCCGGTTGGCTTTGTTAATTGTGCTGAAGCTATACAAAAGAATGGCCTATTTTTAGGAATCAGACACTGAACCCTTTAGGGATAAAGGGGCACCGTGCCTGCAACTTACTCTCAAATAGTCCAGAAAATAATTACATAGATATATAGATTTTTTTTAAATAAAGCAAGTGGGGTGAATATAAATAACTGGTGAATCTGGTAAAGGGTTTATGGTAGTTCTATGTTATAGTAACAACAGACATGATAGAGTAAGTCCAAAGGAAAGAGACAGGAATAGTATTATCTGTGCAATGTGCACTTTCCACAATAAATCTATTATTCCCAACTTACAGGTAAAATATCTGAGGCTCAAGGAGCTTTCCAGTTACTTGCCCAAGGCCACACAATTAGTCACAAAATCAACACCTAAATCCCAATGGTTTTTACTCTGAAGTGCAATAAAGCCCACTCTGTGCCAACTCAATGACGTAACAAAATCTTTTACAAGGTAGCATGTCCCTCACCCTAATAAATCATTCTGTACCGACATCCCATATGATTCTTCCACGTCTAGAAGGGATGGAGAGATGAGAAAAAATGGATAGGCTGTGTTTATACTCCTAGGCAAAAAGTGGCGGATAGGGGCTAAATTCTGTAATGGTTCTGATTAGGGCAGCCTCAGATTCACAAGAAATCAGACTGAAAGATACAATAAGAGTGCCAGAGCCTCATTTGTCTACAAAGGGCCCCCAGGAGGGCAAACTGACCATTGAGCGGGGTAAGGCATGTAGGGTTCAGGGAGACTGGGTTTTCAAGGTGGTCTCAGGAGAAGGGTAGCCCCAGCTCTCACCTTGTAGACGTCAAAGTTGTCAATTATGGCATCAAAGCAGGTATACAGGTCATTGAGAAGTGTCACCACCTAACAAGGATGGGAAAGTAGAGCCCCTGAGACTTGAGCCTAACTTTCTAAGAATTCTTAACCCATAAGCCCTAACAAAATATGGGAACTCCAGAACAAATGAATCTCCCCTACTATCAAGGCTCCCTATGCCCCAACGAAGCTCCCCCAGATCCCTATCCCACCCCCTACTTCTCACTTCTGGTTCTCACCTGCATGGGGGTGCTCTCTGCTGACAAAGCTGTGAAGCCAACAATGTCACTGAAGTAGATGGTAACACTGTCAAAGGCCTCAGCCTGTACAGTCTCTCCCCGTTTTAACTGCTCTGCCACTGAACTAGGAAGCAAGGGCCAAACTCAGAGAGAGAGGATGGGTGGAGGAGAGAGAGGCAAGGAGTGCATGGCTGGAGCAGAGATGCGTTGTAACATGAAAGCTAAGCCGGGTAGAAGAGAAGGAAGGTGACTGGGACTAGCTCAAGGTAAAGTATTTAAGTGGTGGGGGGTTGCAAGGGGACCCGTAGGGATGGGGGCTAAATGTCTCAAGTTGGGAGTGTTCTACATCCACTTGCTAGAGCAAAGGCACGGTAGAGCCGTGTCCTAAAAGGAAGGGTTGGGAAGCCAGGAAGAAGGCAGCATAGCTCATTTGGAGACAGAATGAAAACACACGGTCTATAGCCAGAAAGGCTCACTGTGTCAAGGTGAAACAAAACAGGGTTCTAAGAGTTGGAAAGTGAGTTCTCAGGAGCTTGATCTGGGAGAACCCAATAGAGTAGAATACTAAAGGAAAATTTGGGAAGGTGACCAAAGTCTCACTGGGGTAGAATTTGGTAGAGCAGAGCTTCAGCCTTGCGCTTCTCCTCCAGATAGGCCTGTGTGCGCTCCTCCACCAGCTTCTCCAGGTTATTGGCATACTGCTCCATGCGCAACAGCAGGTTGTCCAATATGCTTGTGCCGCCCTCCCTGGAGGGAGGCCAGGATATGGTACCTGCTCCCAGACTCTCAAGACTCCCAGGGCTTCCTACCCAACCCACCCTCTTGGCCCCACCAGCCCCACCTCATCCACCAACACTGATGAGGCTTCTATCCCTGGGGAGCCCTCGCCCCTTAGTGCCCTCTCACTTGTTAAAGCGGCGAATGAAGCCCTTAATTTGTCCAAAGTCTGGCCGCTCAGCTGGTTCCTGGGCCCAACATCGCTCCATCAGCAATACTAACTCTTCATTCAGTTGGGTCCGGTCAATGCTTGGCCGGAAATATGGCCGCTGACCATTTCGGACCTTTTGGACAATCTCTGAGGGTGATAAAGGCTTTGGATGAAGAACAGGGTCCCCCAGGTAGAGGAGTCTATGGGCAGTAGATTGACTCTTACCTTTGGGGCTGAGGTCCAGGCCCTCCAAGTAGAAAGGGCCACTGCGAAGTGCTATCTCCTGTAAGATGATCCCAAAGCTATAGACATCAGCCTTCTGCATGCCTGTGGTTGGCAGTGGGTTCCCACCAAGCAGTTCTGGGGCAGTCCACAGCTTCTCTGAAAAGGGAAAAGGCTGGCCAAGTCCTCAAAAAGAGTATCCCCAAGCCCATAATGCTCCCCATATTACTGTCATTCCATCTCCCTCTCCCACCCTCCCTAGGTGGAAATGATCAAGGCCAGAGGCGAAATATAAAAGGGGGTTGTGGGGGAAGGCCTCACTGGCATAGAGGGCGTGGCTGTCATCGGGTTCAGCAGCTGAACGGAAGCTGGCCAGGCCATAGTCTGTGATTTTGAGCACAAAACGACTATCCACCACACAGTTGGAGGACTTGAGACTCCCATGGGATGCAATAATGCTGTTATGGAGAAAGGCCATGCCCTGCAGGATACAGATCAAGTCATGGGTTTGGATTATATCCAGCTTAAGATACCCCCCTCTCCATGAGATGGGCATTAGCTAGCTGTCTAAAGATCTCGGGACCATAAAAACAATAAGCTACTTTTGGAAGGCATCCTTTACAGTAAGTTCCTACCCAAAGAAGCAGGCAGAATAGGAGAGTCATCCCTTCTTGGTACCATAAACAGTATATTGGCACCATGGCACCAGGGACAGGAGAAATGTTTAAGGGGAGGGACAAGGGGAGGACCGGAAAGGGCAGTCAGTCTTCTGAGTAGTAAACAGAACTATGAGGGTGAACTCCAAAAATTATATGTCTGACATCCATGATGGCCTCAAATGTATGGCCACTACTTAGGAAGACATGGCTAGAGACCCAGGTATCAAGAGTACCTAGATGCACCAAGGAAGACTAGCCAGCTGTAAACTTTAACATATAGCCATGTGTAGGCAGGCGAGTCAGCATGGAGGAGGAAAGCAATCTACTAGAGAAAATGCTAGGCCAGAGAGAAAGTGGAAAAAATAGTAAATTAGTAAAGCCCTGGACAATGGAAAAAATGGGAGACAGCT